TACTCAGTGAATTGCACGGATGTGGATGCCGGATAACTTTTCCCGCGAAACTTCACGACAGTAATTATTCTCCTCAATTGTGCCAACCTATCCTTTGTAATTGATGACTTATCATTTAAACTTCACTGTGTACAATGAGAAAAAATACTGTAAAATTGATCGGTATCAGTTTTTATAAAAGAAACTTGAAATTGTGTCTTGACCTTTGGCACTCGTATTTTTTGGCAGGCTACAGACCGCAGTGCAGCATTCAACACATAAACTCAGTGTTTTGGTGATGCCTAAAAGTATTGGTCCCTGCAGCGCGTCTTGACAGAAATTTGGTGCGCTAGGTATGTATTTCTATTTTTGCGATTCTACTTACCTCTGTCAATTTACTGAATCAGACATGCTAGCACTACACCGATCATATTTTTTTCGCCCTACTAGATTCATATATTGGGCGAAAGTGTCCATGTTCAATGTGCAAGGTACTTGTTTAATGAGAGAGACTGAAGCGTGAACGTCGTTGTAACGTTACTAAATTGTAGGGCTCAAAGCATAGATATATTTCAACACTATTCTTCCTTTCAAATACATGTTTAGTGTGGCTTGTTAAGCAGTTAGGTACGCAGCTTGTTAATGCAGCTTGTTAGTGCAGTTTGTTGCGAGTTCGGGAAGCATAAAGAGCGAAGATGTCGAAAAGTGATTTTTAATGAATATAAAAAAAAACGCTGTTAAAAGAATCCACCAAATGGCCCTTCATATTTGTGTTTTTTTTGTTTTTATAACATTTATGAAGGTTGCGAGATACTAGCTTCGAGTCAATAGGATTTCATTATGTTTTATTACTTTGGAGGGTGATTTTTTGTCAAAAAAATCAACGACATTTCAAAGGATATGCAACACAAAACAAGCAGCGTTGTTTAAATGTCCATGAATACGTGGAACTAACAGAGGCTGCTTGATAATGAGTTCAACTAATGGTCAAAGTGTGATGCATTCAATCCTCTCCCGAAGGTAGCACAAGTCACTCTGTTCCTGTAGACGCACGTTTAGAGCAAATAAAGTTTTAATCAATCAAAATAAAGTTTTAATCAATCAATCAATCACCGCTTGCCATTTTCTTCTTGCGTAGGAAAACTCTGGTTAGTCTCTCGAAGCTCGTGTGCACGTGGGTTGACAGGTGCATTCCAGCTCATCGTGTCGCAATCAGGCCTTTTCAATATGAGTGAGCCAGAAGAGAAAACTATCAGTGTTTATTCTTAAGTACTTCATCATTTTTCCTTAAGGTTTAATTTTAAGAGACAGGAACGAGAGAAGCCAGAAAAACAAGGGGGTTGAGGATACCATAGTTTGCATCAAGAAGAATAAATGTAATAGGCCGGGCAAGTAGTGCGTCGGTAGGATAACCACTGGTCATTAAGGGTGACTGACTAAATTCCCGGAGAAATCAAACGCGTGTGGGAGCCCAAATGGTTAGGTGAGTAGGTGATTGAAACGTTTGCCGCTGTAACATAGCAGCAAAAAGCAAAGGACAGGGTTGACATGTGCATCATGAGGGAGGCCTTTGCCCGGCAGTCGGTGTAGTACGGCTGATGATGATAAAAACTTTTCATATTTTGCAAGTGGAACGGACACTTCAAATACCTTGAACAGCTTTTGTAATAGGGCGAAATAGCTTAGTTTTTATTATTAGGTGTAAGCTGTGAACTCTCGACCTATTGGTTGTTATTTAGCTTACACAGGTGCACGTATATTGTAGTCAATATGAATACTCAAAATGAGTTGATGACCCTGGCACTTGTCCCTGCAGGCATCCTTAATACAACGGTGTCACCATAAACAAAGGAAGCCGGAGTGCACCTGTGAAACTTGCATGCGCTTGGTCCCTGAGAACGCGAGTAGCAAATATTCAAAGGAGCGAGATTGCGCGCACCGTTGTAATGAATGTGAGATTCGGAACATAACTTCACACTGCATAGTGCAACACTAGCTCTTGACTCAAGCTTTCTCCACTGATTTGTGCTTTATGAAATAGCTCAATCGAATAATACGCTAAGTGAAATTATATGAGTCGCAAAACATGGAACGAAAAGTGTCGAAAACTTATTACTACAGCCATTGACGCCCGCCGACGATTGAAGTGCTGCTTTGTGAGGAGAGGAAATAGCCAATACTAAAACTCAATGTAATTTTTCTTATAAATAGGCATAATTTATATATGTCAAAGTTAACTATCAACTTACTTTACAGTGTATCTGACACCTGGATAAGTAGTTGATTGCCTCGATTTTAGGTCGAGTGCCATAAATGGCTGGGAGGGAGGCGTATCTAGAATATTCTATCAGAGCTTGTGTTTACCTCGGTGGTTCAGTGCATTGCGGGATCAACAAGGCATTGTTCACTTTTTCGTGGTGGTTTCGCGCGTGCCTTCCATAGTTTTAATTATTTGCGTATGTGCTGTCTCCTGCTGTGGCATTTCTCAGCTGAACTAGATCACTTGTGTAGATTACCGCACCTTGAATGCCGACTGCTATCACTGGCGCATGGCCAGCCTACGCTCACAGATTGTGACGGTAAATGCGGCATGCTAGGCAACAGACGCTCTACTCTGTGACTGCCAAAGCTATATTCTCAAAGCTGTGGTCTCACTGCAGTAGTTTTCAACGATTGAGCAACGTCAGTTTTTGAACAAATAAGCTAATGTACTTGTGAACAGTTGTATCAAAGTTGCGTCTGCGAAGTGTTTTGCGCATATTGTAAGTAAGCCATTTGGCTAATAAAAGAACTTCACTTTATCAAGCTTTGGTTTTTTGTTTGTTTTCTTTCCAGCGTGCAATTATCAAGTCACGAGGCACAATGAAATCTGCTATACAAAACGCCACGTAAAATTTCAGCAATCAAGCACAAAAATTTGGTTTTGCATTACGTAGGGCAAATGCCCGACGTCACTGCCACTTCCGGTTGTGACTTCATATTTAGTTTTGTAATTTTTGTTTGCTTCTAGTTGCCGCTTTGATACGTAAATGACGACGGTGACGATGGGCCGCTAAATACTGGATTCGTAGTCTTCGACGGAAGTTACGCTATCAGTTTACATATATTTTGTAATACGTGTGAGAAACGTTGCTACACAAACGTTCATCTTTGTCTGTGTAGCCCGATAAGAAATGTTCTTGCAATAACGACATTTTCCTGTTGAGAATTCATAGAACTGAGTTGAGTGAGATCACTTACTTTTCTTTGAGACACTTTAAAGCGCGTGATTGGCATTGAGTATGAAGGGCATTGTGACAATTGGAAGTTGAAAACAATGGAACCACTCAATCCAGTGGAATTCTAGAACAATTGAAACGGAACCGCTCCAATACATGTTTACTACAAAAGTAGAACGAAGCAATAATGAAGTAGGAATACACTGACAACCCAACCACAATTTTACAGAGGAGTGCGTCATTTTTACAAGTGTGACATTAACATGATGCATACAGAAAAATTTAAGGACACGTTATTATTTCTGCTGCAGCCATGCACGTTTTTTTGTGCTAACTAGAAATGGTCTATAAAAACTTTGTAACTCATCTTCTATTGGTTGTTTGTGAACGCATGAGCAGCCACACTAATAACTCATGCAAGGAAAGGCAAGGAAAGTGTTGTGTAATTCGAAGACTTCGACAAGTGCGACTTTAAATATAGGTAATATAGCCAGCAGTACCTTATGTAATTGATGATTTAAAAAAAGCAGAGGACGCTTGAACTTTGCCGTCAGAAGCAGGACGTAGTAGTAATTGAGCTCCGTGCAGATTGTTTTCTCACTTGCAAGCCTTGATTTCGTCCTTGGTGCATGCCTCAGCCATGCCATAAGAAGCGAGGAATCGTGTGTGAAACATTGGCCGTTTCAAACTGTGCTATCATTCTTATTAGGCAAGAGCGCTTTCCAAGTGGCCCCTAGGCCTAAATTTATTGCGATAGCAAATATATGGACAGCCTACTCTTGTTTTTGTGATTACCATCGCCACCGCCATCATTCCCGTATAGGTGTACGTATGAATATGAATACGGGAAAAGATGCACTAGCCCCTTCCTTTCTGTGGAGCGAACATCGCCTTTCCGGCCGGGCTCATCTGCGCGCGCACTTATCTCGCTAGCCAATAAGGAGGAGGGGCGCTCATGGTTGCCGCGCAATCGCGGCAATGATCAGCGCGCACCTTGTTCTCTTAGATCAGGCGGTAGCTTCAATGGGATGTACTCTCAGCATGAAAAAACAGTACTAAATGTCTATCTGGAGCAGGCTTGCTCTCTTACACTAACGTTTTGTAGAGTTAAGTGAGATCGAATCTAAGTGAGTCATCTGCCAGCCTCAATTCGTATATCAACGGCACTGCCACGCACGAGCATTGTTGTGTTTATCTGCTGTACACAAATAATATTGCTCCTAAATCATTAGGTTTAGGAGCAATAAGCAAGCTAAGAGCCTTGCTTCGTAAAACGCTCCAATATGTTCATATAGCATTCAATGCTTTGCCCTATTGGCAAAACTGTGACTTTTTCCTTGTGGGAATTTGCGGAAGGTCCACTACGCGCCCACTGGGTAACACGGGAAGCTACTGAGCTGCTAACTTGGCTGGAGATTTGGCAACTGATAATGATATAATCTTTCAGAGCATTCTGTAACAAGCTGGCCTTTCAGACGCACATTTATTGCACAAATTCAAATGTTTGGACGCCGGGCACAAATCTACCCTTCTCCTACGCAATTTCACATGCGTAAACAAGGATTCTCCTATGACACGGTATTATCATGCAGTCTTTTACCGTAGCTGATTGCAAGACCCGGTAGCACAGTGGTAGAACACCTGCTTGCCGCGCAGATGGCTTGGGTTCTAGTCTCACTCAAGGCGAAATTTTTTTATTATTATTTTATTTGAATCTTTATCAACTTTGTGGTCGACGATAAGGTGATGATTTTTGGCTGACAACCAACGACGGCTGTAGCCACATCAGTATTTCTGTGAAAAGTGCTCTTCAACGCTCTCTTATTAAAAAGTGATCCAGATTGGAGGAGCACCCATCGGCAGCGTCAAGCCTGTAAATGCAAAGAAGTGATTGCTATGAAGCCTTACTAATAATTTACGCCACATCCCCGGAGTTTAAGCATAGGAAAGCAAACACCGAGCTCCACAATTTTTGACACAAGGAATCTAAACTGCACAGAGAGCCGGACGTAAAGATAACAGAAACATGGAAGTATCAACCTGCTACATAGAACAAGTTTGCTATCCTGTGCATGATTGGGCAATTAGGGTAAGGAGAGAAGACAGATGTAAAAAAACATAATAAAAGTTAAAATAAACGAAAACTCACATAAACACAGAAAGCTCAGAAAAGTATGCACTCAGAGTGTTAAGACCATGGAACAAACTAGATCTTCATCCTGTAGTTTACCGATGCATTTTTCCACAGTATTGCAGGAAGCACACACATGCAGGTTGGTGAAACTCGATAAGTGAGGCAGTGAAGACGGGTCTCGGCTCCCCAGTTGCTTGCATTTCTGTGATTTTAAGGCCTAATAATAGGTTCAAAATAATTTTTGCGTTGGTCATTGGTGTAGTGGATCGCAGGGCTGAGGGATTGACTCTCTGCACTGCTGTGTGCCGTCTGCCAGAATATTTTTTAGAGTTTCTTCTTTGCGTCATTGATCTCAGGCTGCAAAGATGGTATTGGGAATGAAATTTGATGGCTTCGTTCATGAAAACTAATTGTGCATGCTTCTCATATGGCCCACTGCACTGCGACGTGCTATACTGGAGAGAAAGCACGAGGAGCTTCCAAGTAGCATAGCTTCCAGAAAGTGCCATTCATACACGTCATTGGTGGTCTTCGGCGCGAGATCAACAGTAAGATATACTAGGCCGTTTCTTGTGAGCATTCCTGTACTGACATGGCAAGAAGCTTGTTCTTTTGTGTGGTCTCTCAGTTTGCTAATGGGTCACGTCTGCAATCTTAAACGCCAGTAACTCATGCTTGCGACACGTGAAGGTCACAATAAATATTAAAGTACCGCATTGGAGCCTCTGAAGCCACTTTCGAGTGAGTGTGACTCTATCAATTTGGAGTTCGATAAGTTCTGCTGGGAGCTGTGTTTCTGTCAATATAGCATGGCTAAACTCTTGAATTGATATAAAAATTTGAAGATTAGCTCTCGGGCATAATGAATTCATCTGTTCTGGTCTGCATAGTGCTAAGTCTTCTTCGCATAGTGCAAATCAAAAGAGTTCTTTGAAAGCTAAATTTTGCGTAACTAACTTTTCTAGGTACCAGATGCTATTAGGTTGATGATCACCTAAATGAGATGTGCTCATAGCGCAATAAAGGTACCCCTATAAAATACCCGAGCCCTTCAAAATCAAAAAGGGTCTTGAAGAAGCTGTTTGTGGAAATTCCTACAACTGTATACGCCCTATATTAATAACCTGAAGAAACACAGTGGGTGTGGGCCAAAATGCATCGTAACAATCGTAATTGTTTTTATTCTGATTGTTCATGAAAGCAAGCTCAACCCTGGCACGTTCAGTAGAAGCTCTCTATAAACTATATGCTCCGCACGTGTTTGACATTTTAGGGGCGAAGCTCCTTAGGCAATGGGTGGTGCATCCGCGATGTACGTAGTAGTAGTAGTAGTAGTAGTAGTAGTAGTAGTAGTAGTAGTAGTAGTAGTAGTAGTCGTAGTAGTAGTTCGTAGCTAACTACATGGCCGGACTAGAAGAGCAGCACGTGCGCACTGTTTTGAATTGAGTAGGAAACCCGCGCACGTTATTATAAATAAAGGTTGTTGTTTGAGATCAAAGAACCTACAGAAAGAAGTATCGGTGATATACTCTCCAATTAAATTTGCCATGAATTTGAAATTTACTAAAAAACGTTTAGTAACAGAAGGACGCACTTTCAGCACTATCTGAGCAGAAAAGGTGGCAACGTTTAACTCGCTGCGCGTAACAACCTTCTCGGTTTTAAGAAGGTTTTGCGAGGGTCGGGCCACAGTGCCATGAACTATCAGCGGTAAAAGGGAGGACACAACGACACAACGCGCAGGCCGCAGAGAGTGCGCACATGCCGCTCCAATAGTGCAGGTGTGCCACTTCTTGTTAGTGCTTGGAATGTCCGCTGGTAGGTGGTACTTCTATATGATGAATATATAAATAAAAAATGCGTGATGGTCGTATTTGAAGTGTGCACTAGATGGGATACGGATGGACAGACGCACGAACGGACGGCTGCACAGATAGACAGATAGATGCACTGATGGACGCATGAATGGTTGAACGGACGGCGGAAGCATAGATGAGCCGACGCCGGGCCGGACGCACGGACGAACGCAGGGGCAGACGCACAGACGGACGGATGCACAGATCGACCCATGGAGGCACGGACGTACGGATGACACACAGACGAATAGACGCACGGATGCACGCAGGGACAGATGGATAGACGCATGAACGGATGCACGAACAGACGAATGAACGTGCGGACGGTCGCACATACGGATGAACGGACGAACGGAAGCGCGGAAGGGCAGATAGACGCTTTTCCCCACTCATCATCTTGGACTCAGTGGATATACTCTGATACATGTGTAGTGGCAGTGAATGCTTTGTAAATATATCATGTCTGTAGATTGCATTTCGCGCAGTCGATATATGATAATTTGTACACAAATTGGGCAACACAAGCTAAAATTCGTCAACTATTAATTTTCTTCGACAAGTCTACGTGATGCTGTATGGGATCCAAAGAAATACGTCGTTGTTTAATCCACCTGCTACGGGTACCAGGGCACACATTAGTTATAGACAACGAACGTGCTCATGCCTCCGCCCACAATCTCCTACGCCGGGACTTCGTTGCTTCATACACAGCGCACCTTCTTTCTGACCAGGATGATCCCCAGCCCCTCTTTTCTTACACTAACATCCTGCAACACATCAGGCTGAGTAGACGCACTCTACCCCCAACTAACCGTAAATAAACAAGGAATTGAAGGTCGCTTGAAGACGACTACAATCATCAACAATTCCAAATCCTTACGTACTGTATAAAATAGTCCCATCGATGTACAATCTGCTATGTAAGTTCTGTCCCCAGACGGCAACTTTATTTCACATGCTCAGCAAGTGCCAAAAAAGTGCCAGTATATTGGACAATCATAACTCTACATTAGACGAGTGGGAGGCGACCCTGTTCAGCTGTGACCCAGTGCAGGTACAAGCCCTGGTCGACCTAGCCCGGATGGTGGCAAGAGCCAATGGTCTTCCAGACTAGAAGGTCCAACCACAATAGCAACTTAGTAATTACCAATAAATGTTTTTATTCTCTCTCACTTGAGGGACCTACGCTTGGCTACCTGTAGGAGTTTCTACTACCCTTGCCTTCAGTTCGGTGAATATGATGTCCGTGAATATCATGTCCGCCCAATCAACGCAATCTCAGGTTCAATAAAAAACTAAAAGAGAACGCTTGCTTGAAGGCAGTCGAGCCCACATCTCTGTACAGGACCATGTGGTGGTCCACCTACTGTGCTACGTCAATTGTAGTGGCTCATTGACGAAAGGTTGCATAATTATGCAGCCCAACAGCAAGCACAGCGATACGTCATGGGAATGGAAAGTGGGAAATATTGAGGAAAAGCAGAGAAAGAGAAGGAACAAACAGAGGCATGCATTAACCAATCGTTATTGAAGTCCAACAAGTTGCGGTCGCTCTACAACAGGTGGTTATCACTCGATGATGCTTTACAGGCGTTCCTCTTAGCGACACCTGACTCGCTTTTTAACGACAATTTCCGGACTTTTAATGACACTTTACGCGTGGTTGATGGGATGGTGTTGCCGTCTGGGTGCGTTATAATCAAAGAATCTTCCGTGGCAAGTGCGTAGCCAGAAATTTGTTTCGGGTGACGCGGGGACACCACCTTCATGACACTAAGTCACGCCGACTGGGAGTGTTTCAGTAGTCTGAGCGCCCCGGAGGCTTTTGATTAAACCTTGAGATCGCGTCAGCCAACTACAGCAGAAGTTGGCGACATTATGTTTATCACGGATCGACTGACTATATTGAACAAGATAGTTAAGACAAACACCAATTCACCTGGACGTATCAGAACTTCCGCACCCCCGATGTGCTTTCGTCACGGTCGTGGTGTGTCTGACAGGGAGCTGTGACGGCTGCGGTGGAAGCACTTCGGAGAATGTCGGATACGTTACTCTAGCATCGCGTTTGACTGTGCGGTGCCGTACCAGCAACAAAGTAACTGCACTGTGGCTATAATTTGCGCGGACGTCGATGTTACGTAAGATTTTATAGGGTACTCAGTGTTGTAGATACAAAGAGAGCAAAAATATAGTAATATGAAAACAAAAACCGAACATGTGGGAGAGAACCAAGTTCTGTGCATTTAGATTGATTTCGGTGACCCCTCTAGCCCTTTAATGAAGACCTGGTAGCCCCCATACGGCCTCTCGCAGAGGTCATCTTTTTACAGCTTTTTGGTTCATAGGGCGAGCGCGAAGATTGTGAAGAGAAGAAATAATATCGCGGAGCACACGACCATGATATGGCACGCCGTTGAGAGCTACCAGAGCCCGAGCAATGAACAAGAGCCTGCGTTGTGGTTGGGTAAAATTTTTATGTGAATCATCTTGTGGGTGAGCTCAATCCGGTCTCTCTGGCCACTATTACTGCACATGCACAACAGCTGGTTCAAGCACGCTCAGAACGTGCTCACGCACTAGCGTGTTCGGGCCTGTGTAAAGGAATGGGTAAGAAGATGTAGCCCTTTTCTCTTACACTATTTAGGTAATCATGTGATGGCGTCGGAAATGAGATTCTGCAGACGTGTGATGAAGCAACGCGTTGCATCATAAGTAGAACGCGATGACACGCGGTAGCGCGTTCGGACATGGATATGTTGCTCTGTAAGAGATTGTGGCTAATTGTGGCTAATTGTGGCGGCCTCTTACACTCTCCCAGCAATCACGAAATGGCGATGGGTGCGGAGACTCTGAAGCATCACGATTATTGCAAGTGCGC